TGCTTTCTTCAGTATATCGTCATAACATCCTCTGCATCATCACAACTTCACACCCTTCAAGCCCACCACACGTGTACCCAGCGACCATAACGACAGCGGCAATTCAATAGATGGGCTCTTGTGAGAGCTCAAACGAAGGCCCAACGATCCAATTATTTCGCTAACAAATAGAGACACGTCTTTCGCGGTCGCGGAAAAAGTAAACGTCTCCATTAGCGAAGGAGCCTTTATTTAGCGAGCCAACGTTCATCGACGCCTTCTGGGGCCGTCTGGAATGCTCTTCCTTCCGATATTAAAAACACACACACACACTGTAGATTTAAACCAAAGCCTCGGCACTGACTCAGTATTGTTCGCGGTACTGCTGTCGGCAAAAAAGACCCCTTGATTCCCTCTTGGGAGGCGAGACCGTTCAACCATCCCGCCAGGGGATTTCGTGGCAAAGCGACCTGAGGTCGCGTTGACAAGCAGGGGTGGTGAAAAGGCAAAGAGGCCATTGTGAGAGGCAGGTGCTTGCGTTCAGGAAATTATATTCGAATGCTCGGTCGCGCCGGCAAGACGGGATGCAACGAGACAGGACCATAAATATCCGAGCGCGGGCGCCATTCGTTTGTGTCACCTGCAGTGTTGAAGGCGCAGAGTTAGATACTGTGCGTCACGAGGGTTGCCAACTCTGACCGAAGATATTCCGGGAGATGCTGGTTTTGTTAATTTATTTTCTTAAAATATCCTATTTTCACCAGGTAAGTCCCACTAAGCTATATAGCTCCTTTTAAAAGTTACCTGGCCACAAATAATAGCTCAACGAACTGGCTTATCGTGTGGGAATTTATAGCAGCCAAATACTCTAAACGCACGTTGATTCTAAACGTGGAGGGAAAAAACTTGAGGGCCCGGAGAAAAATCCACACAACCACGGGGAGAGAGAGAGACACATGTAAACTCCAAATATACTGCAGGTGTCAGGGTCGAGATCGAACCCATTATCTCTCCTGCATACCGGGCGAGGTAGTTAACATCTCCTAACCACCGAGGCGCCCCAATGCCGAAGTGCGCTCGAGGTGCGCGCTGCCGTCGTGCGCAATCCGCCCTCCTAGTGGGCAACAGGGAGACGACGACGATGCGGCTCTCCCGAGTGACCGAGCGTAGTTGAACCAGCGTGACCGCGCCGCCTGTTTAAGCGCAGCCAGCGTGGGCTTATTAATCAAAGCTGTCACGGAATGTGCAGTTTTATGTAAATCAGCTCGAGGAATTCGCACTGAATTCAGGCAGATTGACCTTCAAGGGCGCCACAATCTCTGTGAAAGACGCGTCAAATTCAGCGCTTGCAGGCGTTGCCCGCGATTGTTTGTTTGCGCATGTTATTAATATTTTATATTTCTACTCGTGGTTTTACGAGAAGTACGTGCCCATTCCCCTCACCCTCGTTGAAGTATGCGATTGTGTAGATAATTTCTCTGCGACGACAGACTGTAACTGGATAACGAACGAAACTTGATCTGTGAATTTCTAACTTTCCTTTGTGGCAATGTTTTATACAGAAACCTGAAAGGTGCGTCACTGCTTTGGCTATGAGTTTCTCTAAAACTCGAGGACATATTTAGTTCGGAAGACGATGTCTCCTTTGGCAGGAGCCTTGTACCACAGCCCTAAGTCACAACACGTGCAATTTTTAGTGGTGGCATTTTATTTTTTTCAGCTTTTAAATCCAGGTTGTAACTTTTAAATCTCTCGAGGCACCAGTCCAGACGCGCAAAACTGTTACCGTTTACGCGACGGAACTGGTAGACGAAGCGCAGGCGCGGGGCCGGCGTCCGCTCTCCCCCCCTCCCCCCCCCGACTGCCTCGTTCATCCTCCGGCACACCTGTGTGCCGGTGCCGGATTAAGCTCGTGCGGGGCCTGTAGCATATGTTATAAAGGGGCCCTAAAGAAACACACGCATGTTTTACTTGCATAGTAAAGTATATGTATTTTTTTCATTTGCTATACAGCCAGATAATACGAAAAATCGCTAACCTTAAACACCCAGTCGTTCATAAAAGTTGAAGGCAGTATAGTACTATAGTAATAGAGTAAGTGCAGAATCACTGAACCGGAATTGATAGCTTGAAAGCATTTAGCGCGGGACCTTGAAAGTGCATCACCCGTAGCATATGCTACTTTTGCTACTAGGATAATCCGGCACTGCTGTTTGCCCGAGACCAATGACGAACATCCCCACTAAAAGCGTCGTCGTCCAGACAACATCTCCTCCGATGCCCACCAGGTACCGACGGCCCCTTAGCTAGGGTCAGGTAGTGCTATCAAAACAAGTGCCACTGTTTTGTCCGAAGTCCAGGCGCGCCAGAGGGCCCTCTCTGTAACGGTTCATTCCACCGTCACTAATTGATTTCACGTGCCATTGGTGAGTGGGTGGAAAGGGAGGGTTGTAATTGCTGGAGCGACTTCAGCAATCGCAGGTGGTCGCCAAATGCGGCTAAATACAAACGGTTTAACGAAAATGATTGATTCATCTTTTAAACCGAGCCCTGTTAAACAAAACAAAATCACATTTTCGGGAGGTTAGAGAGAAACATATTCTACCGCGGAAAATATCGGAGGCAGTAAACTTTTCCGGTGCAATAAAAGCTCCGGAGGCTGAAGGAAGCAATCTTAACGTCCGTGCAGCATTATACAAACATCTCATGATTGCGTGCCAATAAACATGAGTCTCCAAATGTGATGGTCTAGTTATTCTAACGCGTGGATTATGTATTCGGCTGTGGGACTCTTTCACAATAGCCCACTTAATTGAAGCACCATCATTGGGGCTCTTTCAATGCGCACACAAATTTGGCAGCCTATTTGGCCAAATCCTGGCGCTAACAATTGAATGCACTACCCATTGCTTTAATTATCGGCAATGCCACTCAATGTTGTAATGCAGTATTGCAGATGAACGATGCGACGTGTATTCATTTGTCAAAGGATTGCCTTCAAGGGTCTCTTTGGTGAGGCTCGCTTCGTGGAGTGGCTTGGCCAGTTCGCTTATCCACGCGTCTCATTCAAAGTGTGGTTTCACAGCGCCCACTTGTGGCTACGCCTCAGTACTGCTTTTGCAAGCTGAGTACCTCAAGTCCTGAACCACTAATCCCAGCCCACTTAACATACACAGAGCCGTCTGACGTGAATGTATAACATAATACAGGTATACTTGGAATTACAATTTAGAAGGTATGTATCGGTTTTGCTGCCTTGCCCAAGCTTGGGAATTGATGTACTTATGCAAATTCAACTTATATATTCTATAAAAAATGTCAAATTTTCGTGATTTGCTAGCATTTACTTTGTACTATATCGTTTGCGTGTATTGTTTGTTGTTGTAACCTTCTGACCCGCTCCTACTGAGAAAAAATAGCTTCATAGCTTATCGGATTTCTTCAGGAAAAATAATTATTCTGATATAGCCGATGACCAAACCGAGTGAGATAGCAGTGGCTAAGCAGGGCTGAGCCGGGACAGTGCAGTACGCTACCGCGATAGTAGCGCGGACTCACATCTGTTCCCTAATCCACCAACCCTTACTGACCAGAGTGGTGAAGTATGGACATATAACCCTCACACGACCGGCAGTGGATATACAAATGGCCGTATTGTATGCGCGTAACAAAATAAATATTACCTCATTCTTTGAAACTGATTGGTCCACACCAGAGACAGCTTTCTTTTGAGCCTCATCTCAAAACGGTGTTAGACCAGGAGGTCCCATGATGTAGATGCTCACCCCGAGCCCTCATTACTCTGATAATGCTTGTCTTTGTGCTGTACGCCTTTTGGCGTCCTCTGGTCGAACACCGTTTTGAGACTAGGCTTAAAAGAAAGCTGTCTCTGGTGTGGACCAATCAGTTTCAAGGACAATGCATATATTATCAGAGTACGTTTTTTGTTTGCATTCTGACCACAAGTATTGTGGTTAATGCAGACATGATTCCTTGTCAAAAGTTCAGTTAGGTCTTTTAACATCTTAACACATGTTTTGTTGCCAGAAAAAAGGGGAAAACCTATTCTCATATTTTGGTACTGGCAAAGGACGTCCCAAGAAGTTCAAAGTTCATACAATAATTTGTGAGATGGTTAGAAAGGTGGGGAGGAATTCTTGGTCGGTGTTGTGTCAGGCTCACGAGAAGCCTGTAAAGCAGCAGGCCTTGTGGTGCTGCTGCTGTTAACTCAAAGCACGCGGCTCGACCACTCAATACGCCACGTTGGGCCAAAGTTTCACGATTACTGAGAGGCTCGGGAGAGGTCCGACGTCGCTTAGATCAATAATTTAATGAGCCAGACCAAATGCAGTATCATTTTTTCCCACACCTCCGATGAGCACGGTTGGCTACGTAGGGTGTGAAGTTCAACATACTGTACATACAATTTGCTGTCCTGGCCCTCAGAATTATTTACTGTCCTCTTGAACCATTCCTTCAGCAGTAGAGTCGATTACTGTACCCAGTGCCGGATTAAGCTAGTGTGGGGCCTGTAGAATGTTATATGTAAAAAAAATAGTGCAAATAGTGACAGCAAGAGGCGCCATAAAAAAGACTTAGGTTAAAGGTACAAGCACGCTCTCTATTTAGTCTAATTATCATCATTATTACGATCCATGGGCATAGCCCCGCAGGTGTCCACTGGACATTTGGTCATTTCGTCGAATAGGGACGTAAAAACATGTAACACGGTGGGGAGTGGCGGGGAGAGTGCAAACATACTGTGAGAAAAATATTTGACCCTTTCTGGCAATAAAACAGATCTGAAGATGTTCAAACACCAAATACATACCTTTTGCAAGGAATCAAGTCTGCATTAACCACACGTTTTTGTGAACATGCAAACAAACATGCAAAGAAACATGCTATGATAATATATGCAGTAGTTATTAAACGATTAGCACCGTCGTTGCATTTCCTCTACACAGCTCGGCACCGATCCCTTTGCAGGCGCTGCCGCACGGAGCTATGAGTCAGAGGCACACTTAGTGGACTGGCTGGGGCGGCTTGGCCACGTTATTTATGGCTGTGTACGCTCGTGATGCCCGCGCAGCGCCGCCGACCCCCGCCCAAGGCGGGATCCACGCGAACTTTGCCGTCTCTGCTCTCTCGCGACGCAGGCAAGGAAGCGAAGCGGATTCACAACAATCTGGCGCAGGGCTGGGGGGTGCAGGTTTAGAGGAGTGATCTCCGGTCCAGAAGATGACGATAGATCGGGAGATGTTAAGATAAGGCAGGAAAGATGCAAGGAATTGGTAGGCAGCTTTGCGACAACGCTGTGGGCGCCCGTATACGCTGCTGAGACCGCCCAACCAATCACGGCTCCACTGCGTGCGTATGAGGAGGGAGATGTAGTGTCAGATGTTTTTCTCAGCTCTGCTCGGGACTTCTTAGAGCCGAAAGAAAGCCTTATTGTTGTTCTTCTGCTTGCTGATGTCACGGTCGGGATTTTAATGGGATAAAATACTCATGGGCAACGCTTCAGCCCGTGAGTGGGCGGTCAGCAAAACTGATGAGGAGGTGGACGAGGAGATGAGGGGCAGCACGTTCGTGATGATCGACAAGTCGGGTAGTGGTGACGTTAATGGCATTGATGAAGATCGCGTGGCTGCAGGCCGTGATGGCGTTGGCGGTGGAGATGCTGACAGCGATGGTCTTGATGGTGGTGGTGAGGGCAGTGGTGGTGGTGATGATGATGGGGTCTGTGTAAATAATAATGGTGGCATAGATGAACGCGGTGAAGACGGTGAAGACGGTGGTGTCAGTGGAGATGTTGATTACCGTGGGACACCTGGAGACAACACTCGTTGTTTGGTTGCTGATGGTCTCAACAGTGAGGCTGGCGATGGTAATGGGGCTGCTGTTTATGCTGCTACTAATAACGGAGGTGTACATCACGATGGGGGCGGCGTTGCTGAAGGAGGTGACCGTCTCCTGGCTATGAGCACCGCTCAGTTTTCCTCCTTGTTTGACGAGGACGGACGTCTGGTGGACGAGTCCCTCTTCAGAAAACTCATTTTCAAAGGTACGCCGAGTCTCATCGAACAAAGACGGTCACTGCATCGTGCGCTTTCAAATGCGCTTCTGCGGCCATCTGGAACGCTCTTCCTTCCAATATTAGAAAGCCACTGGAGCTATGCACTTTGAAATCTCGATTAAAAACGAATCTGGCAATAAAACAGGTGTTAAGATGTTCAAACACCAATTAGATATATTTTGCAAGGCATGAAGTCTGCATTAACCACACGTACTTGTGGAAAAACATGCAAAGAAACATCCTCTAATAATATTTGCATTGTCTTTGAAACTGATTGGCCTACACCAGAGACGGCCTTCTTTATTTTGGATACTGGCAAAAAGGTCCCATAGATATAATTTCTTTAGAACTGCTTTTTGTGTCTAGTTTGTTGTCCTTCCCCCGCACCTCAGATTAGCGTGGTTGGCCACGTACGGTGCGAAATAAGTTAAACGTGTGCGAATAGGTTTTCCCCTTTTTTCTGGCAACAAAACAGGTGTTAAGATGTTAAAACACCAAACTGAAACATACTCTTTGGTTCTTTCGGTAAAGTCACGTAGGTAGAAAAATGAACCTTTTACTAGGAATCATGTCTGCATTAACCACAACAATACTTGTGGTCAGAATGCAAACACAAAACGTACTCTGATAATATATGCATTAAATTTTGATTTAAAGTTTTCGTGACTGCAGTAATTCATATACTTAGCTCTTTCGGTAAAGTCACGTTGAAGGGAAACAATAAAATAATAAAATATATATAAAACAATAAAAATTCTCACGTTTCGACCATAACACAAACGGTCGTCATCAGGTGTGTCGGTTTGATGACGACCGTTTGTGTTATGGTCGAAACGTCGTGAGAATTTTTATTGTTTTTTACATATTTTATTATTTTATTGTTTCCCTTCAACGTGACTTTACCGAAAGAGCTAAGAATATAATATATGCATTGTCTTTGAAACTGATTGGTCCACACCAGAGACAGCTTTCTTTTGAGCCTCGTCTCAAAACGGTGTTAGATCAGGAGGTCCCATGATGTAGATGCTCACCCCGAGCCCTCATTACTCTGATAATGCTTGTCTTTGTGCTGTACGCCTTTTGGCGTCCTCTGGTCTAACACCGTTTTGAGACTAGGCTCAAAAGAAAGCTGTCTCTGGTATATATTATCAGAGTACTTTTTTTTGCATTCTGACACAAGTATTGTGGTTAATGCAGGCATGATTCCTTGTAAAAAGTTTCAGTTAGGTGTTTTAACATCTTAAGACCTGTTTTGTTGCCAGAAAAAAGGGGAAAACCTTTTCTCATATTTTGGTACTGGCAAAGGACGTACCATGAAGTTCAAAGGGCATACACAATAATTTGTGAGATGGTTAGAAAGGTGGGGAGGAATTCTTGGTCGGTGTTGTGTCAGGCTCACGAGAAGCCTGTAAAGCAGCAGGCCTTGTTGTGCTGCTGTTAACTCAAAGCACGCGGCTCGGCCACTCAACACGCAACGTTGGGCCAAAGTTTCACGTTTCCTGAGAGGCTCGGGAGAGGTCCGACGTCGCTTAGATCAGTAATTTAATGAGCCAGACCAAATGCGGTATTAATTTTCCCCGCAACTCCGATGAGCACGGTTGGCTACGTAGGGTACAATAGAAGTTCAACATACTGTACATACAATTTGCTGTCCTGGCCCTCAGAATTATTTACTGTCCTCTTGGACCATTCCTGCAGCAGTACAGTAGAGTACATTGGGGGGGGGCCTGTAGCATATGCTATAAAGGGGCCCTAAATATAAAAAAAATATATAAAAACACACTTTTTTAACTTGCATAGTAAAGTAATTGTATTTTTTCATTTGATATACAGCCAGATTATACGACAAATCGCTAACCTTAAACACCCAGTCGTTCATATAAGTTTAAGGCAGTATAGTACTATAATAAGTGCAGAATCACTGAACCGGAATTGATGGCTTGAAAGCATTTAGCGTGGGACCCTTGAAAGTGCGCGACCCGTAGCATATGCTACTTTTGCTACTAGGATAAACCGGCACTCACTGTACGCAAGCGCTCTTCCCTCCACACTCCCATGTCCCCTGCAACACCAGCCATGTCACAGGTTCGAGATATTTGACCCTGAACCGCTCTCTCCCCGAGGACATTTTCTTAATCCGTCGGCACTGCACCGATGCCCGTGCAGCGTCGCCAATTATAATTATAACGGGAGGGAAGAATGGCATATTGTGCATCTGAAGGCCTTGGCTTGCGTCCAAAGTGGCCCAGTCACATTCCTCAAGTGTCAGAAATGTACGCAATGCATTCATTCCGCCAGCAAAGGAATTGAAGACTGTACTTCACGCACACACACCGCCTGTGGATAAACCACCCAGCCGTAATACGCCCAGGCTACTCACATCTCGGCAAGCTTATCCTGCAGGTTGACCCGCCTGGGTGTACTACTTGGATTGGTCAAAAGGTGAACGTGATTTCCCGTGGCTCAAATAGCATTGGTCCATTGATGCTCATCTCCCGTTTACAGCCCATGAAAATCTGTCGGTGGGACAATGCCCCATTGCTTTGACGTAGGCCGGTCTATCTGCAGGACAATCACCGTTGATGTCCTCACTAAGCGGTACTCGTTTTTATCGACCACGGAGGGATGATGGGCCGAGTCAACAACCACCCCGACCAGGAATTGACCGCAACATTCCAATTGCGACCACTCTGACTTACAGTTTGGAGATGTGCATGACAGGTGCTGTGGGCTCCAGTCCATCAGTATCAGACAGTGCAAACAAAAACCCATCATTGCACTGCATTTCTACGTTCCCCAACCTTCACCAAAACCGGCACTGAGCAACCAGGGCAGTGAAGGGCGGTCAAGTAACTCCCGCAAGACCTGCATGCGACGTGGTGGAGGCCCTCATCTGGCAGTGGATTGAGAAGGGGGCTGGTAGTGTACATGTACTGTACGCACACCACAACATTGGGATGTATTCTTTCACACCGGACATAGTCAACTGCTAATCGGAGGTGCGGGAAATTAATACCGCATTTAGTCTGGTTCATTAAATTATTGATCTAAGCGATGCTGGACTTCACCTGAGCCTCGCAGTAAACGTGGAACAACTTTTGCCCAACGTTGCATGTTGAGTGGATGAGCCGTGTGCTTTGAGTTAATAGCAGCACTGCCACAAGACCTGCTGCTTATAGGCTTCTCGTCAGCCTTATACAACACCGACCACGAATTCTTCCCCACCTTTCTAACCACCCCACAAATTATTGTACGTTGACCTTCTTTCGCACCGTACATAGCCAACTGTACTAATCGCAGGTGCTAATTTTCCTGCACACCCCCCTCCCCCACCATCCCTTCCCTTGTCCCGCGACGGCACTACCTGGTGGTGCAAGGCGGGCTGGAGGCAGTGGTGCGGCGCGAGGCGTGGAAGTTCCTGTTCGGGATGTACCCCTGTTCGTCCACGGCGCGCGAGCGCAGCGCCCTTCGTGAGGAGCAGCGCGTCAAGTACCGCGTGCTTAAGTACCGCTGGCAGCAGCTGCTGCCCGGCAACGTGCACCTGCGTCCCGACGGCATGGACGGTCAGGGTTGCACCCCCCCCCCCCACCACGGCCACCGTCGCCCGCCACCCACCCTTTGCGTATGGTGCACATGACACCGATCCAGTATACGTGGAATGCTGGAGAAATGTTGGGCCAGTATTGGGTCAATGTTGACCCAAAGTTGACCCAACGGTGACCCAACGTTGGGCCAATGTTGACCTAACATTGGGCCACTTTGTGTTAATGCTGGTGCAACAGTTCCAGCCGTAGGCTGACGTTTGCCCAATGTGCCACATTTACTGGGGCCATATTAAAAAAAATGGATCTATAACATCCATTGATTGGCCAACTGGTGTCTTCCGAGCGGCTGTTTCATCCACCACATGCAACTCTATTGAAGGGGCATAACGTAGAACATACACTCACAGTAGCAAAGAATAATGAATGTCTCTCATGCTGTGCCAACAACTGCCAATATACAGTGAAAACTTGGATTGCGAGCATAATTCGTTCCAGAAACGTGCTCGTAATCCAAAGCACTCGTATATCAAAGCGAATTTCCCCATAAGAAATAATGTAAACTCAGATTATTCGTTCTTTAACCCAAAAATATTCATATAAAAATATTAATACAAAATACTGTACCTTTTTATATTTTGTATTTAAATGTAATATAAAGTAATCAAATGTATTCATTACATTTCATCGTGGCTGGTGTGAGGAAGACGAGAGAGAGGAGAGGAGGAGGAGGGTTATTGTGTAGGACGACTTTCACTGTCAGTAACGGAATCACTGCCATCTTTTGGCTCACTGGAATATTTTTCTTTTTGTGCGACTTTAACAAGGAACCTATCCAATGACACTTGCTTTTGCCTCCTTTTGAGGATTTCGTGGAAATGTGACATTGCATTGTCGGGCCATCGTTGCAGTACCGCTACTAAAGAACAGTCACTACACTTGGACACAATAAAAAAATGCTTTACGCACACACACGTGGTCACAACACTATACTGTAGTAAACAGTATACGCTCGCACGGATGTTGACTATACTAGTGAGGCACGCCGATTGAGACCGAGCATGGGAGATGATTACCCACAATCCCACAGCGAGAGAGGGAGAAGAACCATTGGCTCAGTTGTGATCACGTGATGCTCGGCAGACAAAGTGTATACTGTACGTACTGCTCGTAGTGCAAGACATTGCTCGTTTATAAAAATTATTATTTAAAATTTTTGCTCGTCTTGCAAAACACTAGCAGACCAAGTTACTCGCAATCCAAGGTTTCACTGTATACACACTTATATACGTATGCAGTGTAGTAAAATACGCGGTGCACAGTTGACCGAGGGCAACTGAGGTCAAGCAGGTGCGCGTGTGCAACATTGGGTTGCACGAACAAACCACCACCTAATTAAGGGGCTAAGCGGGTGCAAACCGGGGCGATCGGTTGTTCACGCTGACACCAGAGGTGTTGCCATGGAGATGTGAAATAAGGGTTGATTAATGGGCTGACAGGCGCCAGCCTGGCTAGCCTTAAAGAGACTCTCAGATTATTGGCCGTAGGATATAAGGACGTGTGTGAATGGAGCAGAGTGAGTTGTTGCTGGAGACAAAAGTGAAGAAATCTCGCCACTGCCGCTGAAGCCGTCAACGGACCTCAACCCTCACGAGTCGCAGGGCGGGTGATGGTTGATCCCCCCGCCCGGGACAGACGAGTGACTGGGTCTGAGGGAGCGTAGGCGAGGGCAGCGGTGGAGTGTGAGAAGCCTCTGTGTGGAGAAGAAGCTGTGTGCTGCGGCGCTGTGTGCAAGCATCTGTGTGGAGAAGAAGCTATGTGCTGAGGCACTGTGTGTGAAGCCTATGTGTGTGAGGATGCCGAGTGCAACTAACCTGTGTGCGGAGTCGCTGGGAGCAGAGCTTCCGAGGGCAAGATAGGTGAGGTGTAACGTAGAGACGAGTGGAAGAAGTTAGGTCTAAGTGACCGTGTAGATAGTTCTAGGAGTGCCTACAACTGGTGCAATAGGTTAATAAAGTGAAAGCAGGTGACTTGTTACAATGTGTCCGTCTGAGTGATTTTACAAGACACTACACATGCTGTATATATACACTTGGCTATTTGTAAAACTCATGGGTACTTTTTGGCTCTTGGTCTTTTACAGGTTGGCCACCACTGATCTGTAAGGATAAGTCACTTATTTAGTGACGAGAGCCACACTTGAGTCCAAGGCCTCTTTTTGACGAGGATCCTACTGCAGTGGGTTTTTCTCTTTAGACGTTTTCAACCAATCAGTGAGTGTTGATGCATGTGGGAGGAAACCACAGCACTCATAAAAACATCCAGGCGCATGGGGGGGCAGCATTCTATCCCCGTACAGTTGGAAATAGATGTAAATTAGTCCACACTCTGCTGTACTGACTTGTGTGGTGATCCACCAACCCTCGCTGCTGCCTCCACGGTGCTGGATTGCAGGCAGCCACGTACGTAGCCACCACCGCCACCCAGCCATATTTTGTCATGTGGGTTGAGCGGAGTGTGCAGCGTTTGTCTGGTGATTGGTGGACATTGAGGACCTTGTGTTGATGGCGAGATCCTTTCCTGTAATTTTTAGTTGAAAAGAAAAGAGTGATGCGAAAGTAACGGCAGTATTTTTGCTATACATCAGATCACGTCCATTTGACAGGCAGATTATTACATCGCGGGATTGTGAGAGGTGATAGCGGCGTCTTGGGGAGACTATCTAGCAGTGGATTGCACATTACTGATAATTGCACATGGCTGATGATGGAGATGAAGTAATATCAGCAGACATTTCCTTTTAAGCCAAGATGTAAATAACACTTAGCATCTTGAACCTCGATGATATCTGAAGAATCTGTTTTGCGACCCTTTAAACTTCTTAACATTTGGTGAAGAGTAATACAGCAGTATCACATGTATTTGAATGGTTTGTTAAAGATGTTTAATATTATGTTGACGACCTTTAAACCTGCGACTTATATTTATATTTTATGATCTCCGAGTCACTTGAACTGCGGCGTAACGTTTATCCCACGTGAAATGCATTCCTTCTCATTGGTCACATTGGGTGTCACCTCCACAGAGAGGCTGGTGGCGGTGGTGGCCGCTCAACAGGCAGCCGAGAGGCAGGCCCAAGCCCACACGCCAAGCCCGGCGTTGCTTGCCTCTGAGCAAACGCAGAAGCAGCAGCTCACTTTCCTTGACATCCAGGCCCAGGTAACGCACCCATCCCGTCGGGCCCCGTTCCCTCCTAGACATGGCCACACACAGAGCATTTACCGTGTCAAGAGCGCTGAGCTGTGGTTATTTAGAATCCTTGGTCAACTCTGTGCTTCAGTCATCAGTGATTAGACTGGGTTCTCAAGTGCAGAGAATTGATTGTCTGAGCCCGCTCACGAATAACTGCAAAAAATAACCCCACCAAGTTTGTCAAAATTCCTATTCATCTGGGTATAGCTTTTCCACAGTGTGAATTAACCATGCTGGCTGGGCGCAGTCTGTTGTTAATTCCATATAAAGACAAATAGAAAGATCCCCTATATGGCCTCAACAGACTGTAGGGACAAGTGCTGTTAGCAAGCACCGACGAAGGCTGGCACGGCACACAAAGGGGTGGGTGGGCAGTACCAAGCCCTGCCACCTTTGGCTCCCCATTGGCGATGTTATCACAGGCACTCATTTAAGGCTGAGTCGATCTCGAGGAGGCCCAGAACCGTTTCAGATAATTGTCACTGGTGTTGGCCATGAGTGGGAATCGATATCAGGTCACTGGGTTCGTAGCGCAGTCTGCTGAATTCTGTGCCACTGCTTCCCACATGCACACACACACACGTACACATTCCTATGTTTCTCCGTCTCTTGACACGTTGCTGGTAGAAAATTTCTAATAAACTTCCGAAAGAAAAAAGACACAAACCCACCTTTGCGTACAAGGAGAGGAGGATGAGCAGGGCAAGCGATGATGGTGAGACCGTGTCAAGCGACAGGACACCGGCACCTCCTGCAGAGGCAATAACGTTCAGCCAATGAGGGTGACCTCTGCGCCCCATGTGCCAGGTGTTTGCCGACCGCCAGCCCTTCCATCTGGAGGAGCTGCAGAAAGCGATCCGCATCATCGATAAAGACGTCCCACGCACAAACCGGGACCTCGCCTACTTCCAGTGAGTCCCACCAGATGGCTAATCCACGCGGTCTCCCTTATTTTTTTGTTTCATAATTTTCAACGGCTTAGGAGTTTGCATTGTCCTTGTACTGTTCAGCCTTTTGGGGTTCATAGGTCTATCGCACTGGTGAGACAAATGCCAATCACTTTTTCTTCCCCGTCTTTTTTTACAAGCAGTTAGATGCCCCGCTATTTTTTACTCCCTCAACTTGTTCTGCCATTCTCCAGGAAGGAGGGTCTTTCCAATCTGCTGGTCCTGCGTGATGTACTCATCACATTCGCTGCCTTTCACCCAGGTGAGTGCAGGTATGCATACGCATTCGTGCATGATTGGATTCCTCCAATCTAAAAGATTCTTATTCTGATTGTCCTAATTTTTTAGATGGAGAAAACTCAACGCATTCGTGAAATGAAACTAAATAAATGAAAGTGTCAAGTTGATTTTGTTTAACAGGGCGAGAACTCAAGAGTCTAGTATGGAGTTATGCAAGTTTTAACGGGGGCATTATTCTTGCCAGTAGGGGGAGATGATTGCTATGCGTCGTCCCAATTGAGTAATTTTGAGCCTCAATTATGAACATATAATAGGCGACACTTTTGAGAAGATCACTGTTATTGACAAATGTGTTGAGTTTTTTTTTATTAGTTGTGTTTCAGGCCATTGGGATGGGAACATTTTATCAACTCTTTGAGTTTGTGGTGTATATTTAATAAATGACCACATTCAGTTATTTTCGAGCTGGTAGTCTGAATAAGGCTGAGACCTTCTGCATACACAATGCTACCTTTGTGCGTGTGGTTAAATCAGTTTTTTTTCCCAGCCCGCACTGTTTCCCTCATGGTGGGTTTTCTGGTAAATATACATATATACATATGTAAATGACCAGAAAACAGATGTAAATGACCGTTGCCTTTATGCAGTGCTCCTGAATTACCGTTGCCTTTAGGCAGTGCTCCTGAATGACCGTTGCCTTTATGCAGTGCTAATGGGTCTCCATCGTGTGAAGGTTACAGCCCTCTCCCATAGGTACGTGGCAGCAGTAAACGCCGATGACTGTACTTTACTGATATGAGTCATTATACGGACGGAAGTAGTCAACAGTTGTATCTTTGCTTCACTCGCTGCCTGTTGGGATGGCCACATTTTCTCGACTCTCTTAAGTTGGTAGTCTAAACACAAAACGGCCACACATTAAATTATTTTGAGCGGAAGTCAATTGTGAGCATAGTTTTAGCGAAGTAGGCAACTAGCCCATTGAGCCTCGCCTACCCGTGCAGGAATGCAGGTAACACCTAATACGTAGCCCTATTGTATTGCGATTTCAATAGACATGTTCACATTTAGTGCGCGTCTTTGTTGAGAGTATGAATAATACAATAACTGAGTACAATACACGTTCCCATATGTGTCTATTCACGTAAAAAAATGTTTTTACACATTGCATCATCAGATACCCTACTCTGCTGATGAGAAACTGAATGTCGAAAACAGTCCAGGTTTTCCTGGATAAGTAATTTGCTGTTCTTTCATTATTTGTATTAGATTCTTCTAAGTACTTAATTTCTAAACAAAAAATATTGTTATATTTAATTAACCTCCTACAATTCCATCAATTCACTGGAGATGCAACTTTACATTTAAAAATGTATTACGTTTTCCTTTCACACACAAAGTTAAACATTTTGGTAAATAAACTAGTTTTTAAATGCACACACTTTTATTTGCACTCAAAAGAAAATAAGTTATTTTGCCCCCAGAATTAATCATATTTGATATGCTGAATAAAAGTGGGTGGCTTGCACAAAGAGAATTAAACATTGAAAGGAAGCCACCCACTTTTATTTAGCACATCAAATGTGATTAATTCTGGGGGGAAAATAATGTATTTTTCATTTTGAGTGCAAGTTTGTGCGTGCAAAGTGCAAGTTTGTGCGTGCATTGAAATGTTTTTTTTTACCCCATTGTTTTACCGTGAAAACTTTTAACTATTTAACTGCTGATTTACAGCTTTCGTGACTGCAGGGATTCATATTCTTGGTTCTTTCGGTAAAGTCACGTAGAAGGGAAACAATAAAATAATAAAAATATAAAACAAAATTCTCACGACGTTTCGACTGCAACACAAGCAATCATCATCAGGTGTGAAAACCACAGCAAGAAAATTTGAAAAAAGTGGCGGTTTGTTTAACGTTAGCACCACGGAGAGCGATTTGGCAGTTATTCAGATGGACGAGTCCATCTATGTTCGGAAGAGGAGGGGGGAGATGAAAATAATGGATGCGGTCTGAAAGCCACCGTAAGCGTGAACAATCAATTAAGACCCGAAATGGTTTTCAAATCCTTTCTAGATTTAAAGCTTTCGTGACTGCAAGGATCCATACTCTTTGGTTCGATTCGGTAAAGTCACATAGGTAAAAAATAAAACAAAAATCACGACGTTTCGGCCACAACACAAGTGTCCTTCATCAGGTGAAGGGACCAGACTGTCTAGAGGACAGCGCTGGAGTGAACACAGCCAAGCTCAGACCACGACCTTTAAGCTGTGTGAGAGGAAACAGAGCGCCTTGACAAAGGAATTAGCATAAAAATTAGCATTTAATTGGCGGACTTAGCATGATGAACGGTGTAGAGGGGGTGAACATGTGCAGGTCGGCGAGGCGGGGGAGGGGGGAGTTTACATATTGATGGTGTGAAAAGGGAATTTAAGCAGCTGCTTAAATTACCTTTTCACACCATCAATATGTAAACTCCTGTATTAAGGGAATTTAAGAAGCTGCTTAAATTCCCTTTTCACACCATCAATATGTAAACTCCCCCCTCCCCTCCTCACCAACCTGCACATGTTCACCCCCTCTACACCGTTCATCATGCTAAGTCCGCCAATTAAATGCTAATTTGTATGCTAATTCCTTTGTCAAGGTGCTCTGTTTCCTCTCACACAGCTTAAAGGTCGCGGTCTGAGCTTGGCTGTGTTGACTCCAGCGCTGTCCTCTAGACAGTCTGGTCCCTTCACCTGATGAAGGCCACTTGTGTTGTGGCCGAAACGTCGTGATTTTTGTTTTATTTTTTACCTACGTGACTTTATCAAATCCTTCCAATGATTTCTAAGCCAGAATCCATCTTCTCGGTTGAAATTGTCTCAGTGTTTGTATATGTGGATATCCTCATGAACGAATCTCTCATGATAGCCAGATGGCTTGCAAAGAACCTCTATCTTGGAGAAGTCAATGTCATGTGAGCCTACTGAATTATAACAGTGATCTGCCACGGCCGAGGTGTTGGTCCTACCGTGTTTTAGGTCTGCATTGTGTAGGGTCAGCATCGAACCCACGACCTCCTGTATACCAGGTGAGGTAGTTAACATCAGCATCACTATAACCTGTTGTATATATGGCCCCTTTTCCATCTTAATATTAACAAGTAATTTTTCGATACATTTAGATACATATTTCTATTGTTTTTTTTAAAATAATGAATAAAAACAGTCTCTAGTCCCTCAGCAACAGCATGTGCAGGTCATGGATGGGCCATGGAATTAAATAAATAAATACTCCCAGGGTCAGAGGTCACCAACCAAGTGCTGGACAGCGAATTCCAAGGGGCTGAGGCAAACACCCGAAGGCCAGGCCATTATCACAGGCTGTGTGCACGGGGGGAGCTGATTTAAACAACCCCGCACGTTTGAACGTGAAAAGGCCTTTGACCTGAAATTAAGAATAATACTCCCAGAGCAGAAGGTTGGATGGCCACGGTGAGACAAGAGTAAGGGTGTTGTATATCTCTCAATGATGCAGACTCAGCTGAACAGCATAAGCTGCGGGGTTGACATAAGCGGAGCTAAGGTCACCAAGAGTTTGCGTTAGCCTCGACATAGTTAAGTCAAAAAGCTAATTCTACATTGCTATTAAAGTAACGTTAAAGTTTGGGATTCAATGACAAAAGTGGGGTAACATGGTCAATCATCACACCCACTCCCATTGGCAACCAGTCAACCATCACCTGTCTATTAATTCAATATGAAATGTTATTTCCATACTTTAATAATTTCTATACAACTTTACCCGAAGCATATGGCAATCAGAATTTTCCTAAATAAAAAGGAATGCTCTAGCCTCCACCCATAAGCAAATAAGCAGGGTTAAAATAAGGGGAGAGAGGAAAAAATACAAGAGCACAGCAAAACTGCAACGTAAGGCAAAAGCCTGGAAAAACCCAGGGGCGTGGAGAGAGGGAAATGAATGCCAGCTTGTGAAGCTGACATCGGGATGCTAGAGATAAGAATAAGAGTGGCATGAATCAAACAACTCATTATCGCTGCCACCTGCACTCAACAAGGCTGGAAACGGCGATCACTAACATTCCCCCACCACAGCCAGATGAGATTGATGAGGAACCTTGAGATGCACGGTGTGTGTAGACCAGATAAAAGCGCAGCCCTGAAGAAGAGCGGGAGAGACACCACCTGGTGTCTTTGCTGAAGCTGGCAGTTGCACGATAATGGGGCAGAGAGTGGGGGCCAGAGAGTGTGGGGCATAGACTGAGAGAAACAGCAAGCAGGAATAAGAGTGGGGGCTTGGAATGCTCCGGCATGTCAGTGAAAACACCAGGCTAAGTAAAAATTCACAATACATTATTTCCTACATAACATTCATGTTGGCGCTATTCACCGTGAACTATACTAAGCTTACACAAAACAAATTGCATAATAAGTTTGGCGATGTTAATCCCAAGGTCGGAGAGAAAGGGAGATCCCAGCCATCTTTGTATCCCCGCAGCGCGGGGTAGGAGTGTGGTATACGCTCGGGAAAACATTTTCCCTTGACATGGGTCAGGCACCACGATGGAGGACGACACAGACCTTGGGTTACATACCAAATCATAACTGTGGAACTGTGATGAAATGAAATGTTAACTTAACACTTATTAACCATTCCCTTGTGTGTCGGGGACATGATACAGGGAGGTAAGCTTGCCCTGTCTCTCGCACCGGCAGACAGAGAGGCAGACAGAGCGACGCCTTCGAGACAATTTGTAACGTCTGGTTGTTTTACTTTTGGTGTTTTATGGAAGGAGGGTGACAGCGGAATATGCCGTGGGTGATGCACACAAGGACACACACTGACACACGTATGGACACACACACGGACACACACACATACGGACAGATCCTGACACAGTAAAATTGGAAGAAGCTCCGCCTTGTGGGCAGGATCCAAGTAAAGGAATTTTTGGCATAAAAAGAGGACCCTGAGCATTGAAACCTGAGTTCGACCAGTTTGGTCAGAACTCGGGGGA